TAAAACTGCCGAGTGAAACATATCAAAGGAAAAAGAACGAACTGGATAAAATCCCCATCTACAAGAACACAGCAATAAAAATTAAGGACGAATATGATACAACAAATATCATAGAAAAAGTTATTAGCGCTAAACATGTTATGATCAGGGCAAAATATGCAGGATCCGGAAAAAGTTATATTTGTGAAAAAATGGCACGAATGGGAATGAATGTTTTATTTGTATGTCCTACAAATAAGCTAGTCCAAAAATATGGAAAGGAAGCGGTAACAGTTAATAAGTTTTTTTCAATAGCAGTTGGAGACGAGAAATTAGAAAAATTTGATTATTCGGGTTATGATGTTATAGTGTTTGACGAGATTTATTTTAATGGTTTAAGGGTATTGAATAGAATTAGGGAATTTGTTGAAAACAACCAAGATAAAATAATAGTGGCAACAGGAGATGGTAAGCAATTAAAACCAGTATCGGAATTAACAAATTTACAAGAGCACGAAGAATATGCTGATAATTGTGTTGATAAGATTTTTAAATATAACATTTATTTGAAAGTTTGTAAGAGGTTAAAAAAAGAAGAAGATAGGAAAAAATTAGAAAATATTTATATTGATATTTTTGAAAATAATATTAAGGTCAGAGAGTTAGTAGAAAAATATTTCAAATACACTTCCGATATGAACCTAAACGAAAATAATGTGGCATATTTGAACGATACCTGCAAGGAAGTAGCAAACCAAATAAGAAAAAAGCAAAATAGAAAGGGCGAGTATGAAGTAGGCGAGGTGATGATATGCAGAGAATATTTAAAATCAACAACTTATAAATTTCAAGTGAATTTTAGATACAAAATTGTTCATATTGATATCGATTGTGGTTTTGTTGTTTTGAGAAACCTAGAAGATGTAGTATTACAGCATTTACCCTTGGATATGTTGAGGAAGCATTTTATATTCAATTATTGTTATACCTGCCACAGTGTCCAAGGTTCCAGCATAGAGGGAGGTATAACAATATTTGATTACAATCATTGTTTAGTAGATAAGAATTGGATATGGACAGCGATCACGAGGGCAACTGATTTAAATAATGTAAGTTTTTATAAATATGATGCCGATGATGACGCCTCACCAGAGGCTCGCGAGCTTCGCGACGATTTTAATAAAAACTGTATTTACAACTATTTGAAAAGAAAGGTGGAAGGATATAAGGAGCAAGACAGAAAAGCTAAAAGGAAAATTGACCATAAAAACTATATTACGGCAGATTGGTTATTAGATAGATTGAACGGTCGGTGTGAATTGTGCAATGTAGATTTTTATGTGAAATCAACAAAAGGAAATATAAGAACCAATATAACAGCACAAAGAAAATTTAACGACCAGTCTCACACGATAAGCAACTGTGTAGCATATTGCAAAAAGTGCAACTGCTGTATGAGCGACAAGGAAAAGTTTTAAAAAGATTTAGTTTTAAAAAAAACTTTTATATTATATTGTATATATGCCCGTTAGCAAAACCAAGGTTGTTAAAGAGGAAACCATAGTAGAAAAACCGAAGGAGGAAGAAGAGCAAGGATTTAACGAAAAAGTTTATGATATGATTTCAGAGGTGTATCATAAAATGGATTTGATGTTAGAAAAAATTGAGGCTATTAGTGAAAAACCTAAAACCAGAACAAGCAATTTAAATACCGAAGCATCATATACAAACAAAAGAAACGCCTATATCAAGAAATTAAACGATGGAGCAATTTTACAGCCTAAACCGGAAACAATGGAATATTATAAGGTTGTAAAAGAGGGTGATAAATATGTTTAGATTTTTTACAAAGATTTTTTACAATAATTTTTTACAAAGATAATTTATAAAAATGCAATTTTTCAACAAATATTTTTGAAAGATTTTTACGATGAAAATTTTGAAAATTATTTTTATGAAAATTTTGGAAAATTATTTTTATGAAAATTTTGGAAAATTATTTTTTATGAAAATTTTAGAAAATTATTTTTATGAAAATTTTGAAATATTATGTTTTGAAAAATTTTGAAATATTATTTTTATGAAAATTTTGAAATATTATGTTTTGAAAAATTTTGATAAATTTTATGATGAAATTTTTAATATATTTTATCATAAAATTATTAATTTTTTTATTGAAATTTTTGTTAGGAATGGTTGAGGGTCGGATGTCAAAAATGAGGAAAAAATTGTTGGAAATTGGAAAACGTAGGGTATACCCTAGCAAAAAAACGTGTGAGGCGTTCGGGGGGGTGAAACATAAGTTGGGGCATGGCTATGGCTAACTAGGGGGGGGGGGGGCAGGGGAGGGGGGGGGCAGTGGAGGGGGTTGAGTGCTTTTGGTGAAGGTGAAGGTTAGGGTTTTTGGCGGCCTTCCTCACACCAGTTGAGCCTCGAAAACCCGCTCACCAACCTTCTCGTGGTTTGGGTGAGGGGAAAAAAGCGGGGGGGGGGGGGGGGGGGTAGGTCCTGGCGAACCGTCCGCTTGCGGACCCCGTTTCCGGCGGGGTACCCATTTGAGGCAAAAAAGGGGTCCGAAAAATGGTTTTGGGTGGAGGATTTGGAGGGGGGTGCCTGTTCTGACAACCTATACACCTCCGGCCCGAGGCTTCGGCGGATTTGCAACACTACGCCTCCACCACCTCGCACACCTTGGCCGAGCCCGAAAATCTAGAAATTCCTCAGAGGTTTCCTTGAGCGGTTCGCACCGAGGGACTGGATTGAGCCACCGATACTGTAGCGAGCCACCGGATTGGGCGCCACTTCCAAGCTGCACGCGCGGCCGCTTCCAGGGTGCACGCGCCGTCTGTGTCCAAGGTGCACGCGCAACGTTGGGTATCTGCGCAGGGCCGAGTGTTCTTGTACAAGCCTCAACCGTAAACCCTTAACCCTAAGGCCCAAGCCTTAAAACCCCTCAAAGCCCTCTCCGACCCGTGCCACCCAAACGAGCGTCGGGCTCATTTGGAACCCTGAAGCCTAAAGCCTAAACCCTAAACCCCTGGTGACCACTGCAAGCTGCATGCAATACACTGAATTCACCTGGACCCTGGGGCTGGTTGCGAAGAATTTGATATGACCCCCGGCGAGCAGGATGCGTGGAATTTGCCTGCATGATGACGAGGGATGTCTGGTTGCCTCTGATGGGAGGACTGTGACAGTGGTATCGGCCTTGCGCGTTTCCCTTTGCATGATGTGCTGAGATGCAAGACGTGGTCACTGGTGGGAAGGGCAAGAGAGAATGCATCGAATGACGAAGTGAGAATTCTGATCTGCAAGTAGTGCATGACTGGAAGAGAGGAAGATCTGATTCTGCATGATTGCCGCGGCCTACTGCATGGAATCCACCTGAATACACGGCAAGGCAGCCTTTGGAGGCATGCATGCGAAGATGGGTGCGTGATACAACAACAGGGGAGAGTCCCTTGAGGTTCGAAAAGGAGGGAGCAGCCAAATGAGAGAGATGTGAGGACGGTGCAGGTGTGAGCTAGAGGGCGGTTTCACTTCACCTGTAATCTCGCAAAGTCGAGAACACAACTTCTAAATCTTGGGTGACACATGAAGTAGAGTGACACTCATCTCCTGTCACTTGTACGTCCTGGTGGGGGGATGGGTCTTATCTCTGTTGGGTTTCGTTGAATAACAAGTGACGGTGAGCTGTGCATTGCACACTTGAGTTCTTTCGAGGAGATGTGAGGGGCAACCGGGATCACCTGTTGGATTGTTTGGGGGTGGGTCTTAGTTTCTTGTGGTTTGTCCTTGTCGACATCAATACGGGTCATTGAGGAAGTCCCTTGCATGAGTGGTTTCACAGTGAAGGCGTATCGATGTGGTCGTTGTGGCCTGTTGATGTATACCGATACCTGGCATGTGCCTTTTGCTTGGACCTGACTGACCACTGGGTATGCAATTCTTCACAAGTCGCAGCGTAGCATAGCTTGATGAACGGACCCATGGACCTTGCCTGCCTTGTGCGAGAGTGAGTGACTAAACCCCTGAACCCCTAAACCCTAAAAACCCTAAAAACCCTCCCCGACTCGTGGCACCCAAACGAGCGTGGGGCTCGTTTGGGTGCCAAGATCCTTGAAATTAACCCTAAACCATAAACCCTGAACCCTAAACCCTAAAGCTTAAACCCTGAAGCCAAAGCCTGAACCCTAACCCTAAGCCCTGAAGCCTAAACCCTAAACCCTAAACCCTCTTCCGAGAAGCCGCCAAAGAGAACCTGCTCTTCCCTAAACCCTAAACCCTAAACCCCCCAAACCCCAAACCCCAAACCCTAAACCCTAAACCCTGAACCCTAAAGCCTAAAGCCTAAACCCTAAACCCTAAACCCTAAACCCTAAAACCCTAAACCGAAAACCCTAAACCCCTAAACCCTGAACCCCTAAACCCTAAACCCTAAGCCCTAAACCCTAAAAACCCTCCCCGACTCGTGGCACCCAAACGAGCGTGGGGCTCGTTTGGGTGCCAAGAGCCTTGAAATTAACCCTAAACCCAGCCACTTCCAAGCTGCACGCGGCACTTCCAAGCCGCACGCGGCACTTCCAAGCTGCACGCGCTCTGAAAGCCCTGGGCAGCCACCCTGAGAAAGTTTCCGGAATCCTTAAAGCTTCGAAATACGTGGTAAAAACCAATGAAAACAAGACGTGTGTGCGGCCTGGACGCGGGAAAGGCCGTGAAACGCTGTGTGCGCCTTGGACGCGGACATGCGTGCGCCTTGAACGGGCCGGCCCAGGGATTCGGCCTCCAAACGCACGAGCCACCGAACTACCACAGCGAGTCGGTCGTTATTTGGGGGGTGGGGGGGGGCCCTGATGGGCTGGGGGGTGGGGGGGGTGGGGGGGAATGACCGGCGTCGAGGCAGTTCTTGATCCTGGTCCATTTAGTATTATTGTTGCTATCTTTTGCTGCGCTATTTCTTTTTTGTTGAAAAGCTCTTCTGGTGTGTAAGGGTTCCAATTCGCTTGAGATCCTTCTGCGAGGCAATTGCAGCTTGTGGCAGCTGGGAGTACAGCTTTTGCGCCTGATGAAGGCCGGCTGGGGAAGTAAGCACGATCCACACCGAAAATTATAGCAAAGCCCCGGACTGTAAGAGTTTGGCTTAATGGCATAAACCCTATCGTTGAATGCCCGGAGGACGCTGACCGTTGGCAGGGTTTGTTCCAATTCTCACCTGCAAAGTCCGTGCAATAGCTGCATGACATGTGCCCTCGAATCCTATATGATGTGCCAGGAGCGGGACGTACCTCCAGACACGATTTGCTTCAACAGCGCGTTAAGCTCCAGAGGCTCAGCGGAGTTCAAGAGAGGACATTATGCGTTTGGATGCAAGAATGCCGTACGCGGTGGGCCATCGCCCATAGGCTTGGGCTGCAAAAAGTCACAAGCGGGCTATGGTAACCCAGGCTAGCCAAGGTTGGATCGAAACTGCATAGTTGCTTGCACGGCTACAGTTTCCCAAGATTCCCAAGAGTTGAGAGATTGTAGATGCATGTATGCGCGCCAGAACTTTTGATAATTGCTTCGACGCAGCCCGCCTCCGTGGTCCCCACCCGTGGCAGGTTCCAGAGCCGAGCCTCTGCTGCCTCCTAAGGACCAGAGCAAGCGTTAGGCATATTTCCGACACAGCTAGTATCAAAGTGCCAACAAATAAGGTTGGCAGGGTAGATGTTCGTGTGCCTTAGATTCGCAGCAGACTCAATGTGTTGTCCTTGTGGACAATTGGTACAGTATGATACAGTGTCAGAGACCTCCAGAGTGCTGTGCGTTGGTTGTTGGGGCTGATGGTATTGAGGATTGTGCTTTGTAAGTTAGCTTCAGACTTCGGAGTCGGGTTGTGGCAATGGGTCTGAGTCGGTTTAGGACCTGCAAAACAACGGGAAAAGCCCAACGACAATCATTCGTAATCCGTTCCCCCTAATATAAAAGGCCCCCCCCCTCCCCCCCCCCCTGTATAAAAACCCCCGAAGGGTTTTTAGTATTAGGGGGGGTTCTTATCGTTTGTCCGAGAAACCAGCCCGTCCTTATTGTAGCATGCTGGCTCAGCAGCCAAGCCACCCCCCCTAATCCCCCGCTAACTCTGTAGAGGTTTTAATAGCGACAGACCCGGGATCGGTATTTGGGGCCGGGAGGATTTTTATATTAGGGGGGTATTAATATTAGGGGGAATGGATTAGTGCCCGCGTCCAGGAGGATTTCAACTCGTCATGGTGGCAGCGCTCGGTGAGCTTGCTTGATGCTATGGTCGTTGCAGGCCAGGGCAAACCCAATGCATGTCTCAGGAGCGACGAAGAAACAGTTCAAAGTGAATCACAAAAACTACATGCAGCGATCTGATAGTCGGCTCAGGTTTGTAGGGAGACCTAGCACATCCTGGCGCCTCACTCGATGTGGAAACCTCAGGCCGAGCGGGTCCGGATGCAGTCAGTTTCAGCACGACAGTTCTCCACTGCCACCTGGCTGCGTACGGTGCGGGAAGGATCCCCATCACAGAGCACTCTCGAAGATCCTGTCTAGTGAAGGGCTGAGTACGGTCATTTGTGCTCTTGAGCTAGCGGCCTAACGTGGGTTCGGAACACTTCCTCGTGGGCCTCCAGTGTTGTTTCGGTATATCTGCAGATGCGGATCCGAGCCGGATTTGTTGGGAGAGCCGAGCTCAGGGTTCAGGAAAACCGAAGAGGAATGTTGTCTTTAGGTCCTTCGGCTCGGGTGCATCTCGTGCAACCCTGCAAGGTGACGAGGCATCGGCTTGGAGCTCTGCGGTGGCTTTGCCCCTAGGCCCGACATAGGCGAGGCAGCGCATGGTTAACTGTAGTGGTGCTCTGTCGAAGAGTCTTTGTTGGTTGTTGGTCTTTTTGTCGTCTGAGGCTCCGTTGTGCCCGGCCCCTCCGCGTGAAACCTGACCTGCGCGCAGACGAGGTGACTGTCAGGGAGACCGCTGTGAAATCTGTGAACCATGCGAGACTGGAGCCAAAAAATGGTTGAGCACCAAACAAGTCACCAGATGCTTCAATGGGATACAAGCATCAAGCTTTTCATGACAGGCTTCGGCTTCACGTCCATTTGAAGCGCGTCCTTGTCGCCAAAGAAACGGCTTCCACACCAGAAGCAGTTGAAGCAAGTTTGTCCAAGTTTCTTTGTCAAGCCCGAAATGCTGCAGACAGGCCTGGCGGTGGGCCTTGCAGCTGGTCGCTTGGTTGAATCAGATCATTTGCAGCTGTAAGAGATTCTTGCAGCGGACAGTGGGGGGCTCATCTTGCGTCCGGGCTCCTCGTGCCACGTGCGCATGCTCAGACAATTGGCAGGGATTTCCCAAAGCAGAATCCTTGAAGTCGCAGCTGAAAGGCAGAGGCGCCTCTGCCATTTCACGGACGGAGCTGGCAAGCTGCTCTCGAAACTTGGACGACGTTGAGAGCTCCCAATTTATAGTCATTGGCTTGCGAACGTCGCCTCTTTGGTTCCAAGTATCTTGTGGAGAATGCTTCAAATTTCAGAGCCCGCCTCGTGATGCACGACTCGCACGACTTGTCAGCAGCTTTCAGATGGTGCAAGCGCTAGCCGCGTTATTGCTGAAGGCCTTACTGGGGACTCTGGTGCAGGGGATGTTAAGACGTAAGGTTGATGAACTGTGAAAAATGATGATTGTCCTGGAAGCACAGGTGCGATGTACATTCATCCCGGCTCACATTTAGCATGTTGGTGCAGAAGTCGTCCCAACAGTCCTGCCTTCTCTGTACATTACGAACTATGCTCACTAGCACTCAGTCCCTCTCACTTTTCTTTTGGGTTTGTAATGGTTTGCATTCGCTGGACACCACGGGCTCGCCATGCTCAGGATGTCTACGGCCGCGGCGGCGGCAGCGGCTCGGTCTTGTACGCATGGCATATTGAGAGTCGATCTGTTTTCTTGTCAGTGAGGATACGTGAACGGATCCAATGAGGTCCGAGAAGCATCAGATGCTACTGTGCGATCTAACGTGTGTACATTGTTCGTATTTGACAAATGCAAAAGCCGAGTTTCAGTTCTACTCTCCGACTCGCGAGCAGAGGCACACCGGTGCCGAGAAGAGGCTCAGAGCCTTGGCACGTGGCCCTGGAGCTCTTGAGCATACTGCGCATCGCACGGGTGGCAATGGATCCCAGCGTCTGGGCTGGACGGAAGCCACCTGCACGCCCACCTGCTGCCACCCCACACCCGCCCCCCCCCCGCAGCGCCTTCGCTTTGTCAAGTCCTTGTCCCGAAGCCTCAGGTATCAGGAAAATAACGGGGTCTTGTCTTAGTTGTGTTGGTGCTCGAGACTGGCTGCCAGATGGCTACAAGAACCTGTTGGTCCGATCTGCCCAAAAGACACCCGAAGGATCCGAAGGCAAGTGAAAGCCTGGTTTTCCGGATCTCTCGCCAAGCGCGCGATGTCTTACTCAGAGGCTCCGACGCGATGCTCAGCTCATTGGAGAGGGGCCATTGGCAGGCGGCACTGCTGATGAGGACCTCTGTCGAGGGGCTTAGAGGGCGTTCAGGGTGAGTCCCGGATCATGGCTTCATATGTATAGCTTGGGGCCGGATGCTGCGTTGCTCACGGTGACACGCACCCTCCTGCCACAACCCTCCGAACAGCCCCCAGTCAGCCTCAGGACTTCCACTGCGACGCACTCTCCAGACCCAGCAGTTCCGTGGGGCGCCGCGCTGGGTCTGCTGTCGGGCCATGGCCTCGGCGTGGTGAGCGGTTTTTGACTTTTGGAGATGCCCAGGATTGTGTTCTGGAGGTTTGGAGCTAGGGCCTAGGGGGCTCTGAGCAACCAGCAGTTTGGACCTCAAAGCGTCATGCACGACTAGCCAGCCGCAGAAAAGCATCCAAGGTAAAGGGCATTCACCAAGTTAGAACGACCAACTGTCGAGGTAGTTTGGGCGGATGCTGAAGTTTCAACTTGGAGCTAGCCATGGGGGCGCTGAAATGAAACCAACGCAAGCCATGTTAAGGTGCATGTCAGAATTCTTTGGGTTCGACCAAGACAGATGCATTGTGCCAAAGCTGAGGAATCCGAGCCGCTGCCTTACTGCCTTATTGCTGACGCGCTGTCGTTTTTCATTGTAGCTTTGCGTCACGTGCTGCTCCCTTGGGTGCTTAGATGTTTTAATTGGGCTCTTAGGAAGGCGTTTGCTGCACAACAGTAGGTCCACGAATAACGGCATCAAGATTAGTGTGTTTGCAAACATTAGATGCCTTTGAGGCGAGCAGGGCACACCCAACAGAACACAGCTGCTTGGCCATGCTTGGCTGGATGGCAAAATGAATCGAAGCGGATTAGGTGAGGCGCTTCCATCCTGACATGTTTAAGGTTGGACCCTCTTTTCAGTAGGAATTTCCTCTGTCTTAAGACTGGTTTGCCCGCTTAAAGAGGCACGCTTGACATATGCGGGAGTGGGGGGCAGAATTCCCCTAACATGCAAGTTTTCCGGCTGTTATTGTTTTCAAGGGTCGTCCCTGTCATCATGGCTGTAATTTGTATTTAACTTGGGTCAAGCCTTCCCCAGAGCCCAAAACCGGAGATTCTAGTCCTAGCCGTACAAGAAGTTCACCAGCGAAGACCCCAGTGTAGACCAGAAATTGATCAGCTTTGAATGAAAAGATTGAATAATTGAGGCTTTTCCCCGAAGGGAGACAAATGGAGAGGCAGGCCGCCGGATTTCCGGTGCAGAGAGAAATTCCCCACGCAAGGGGGTGGACCACAAGAGCCAGAACATGGCCTGAGGAAAACAGCCGTCCGCGCATGAACTTTCAAGACGCGGCGTGGGGGGGGGGGGTGTAGAAAAGGAACCCGTAGGGTACCTTACGGTTTAGGGCGGTTGCCCCGGAGGTCCCACAATAGGGGGGTCCAAGGTTTCAACGCTGCCATCAGTGCCTGCGAAGCTTCGGCACATTGGCAGCTTGCCTCTCAATTGCTTCTCCGCTGCAATTGCGCACTTTAGAAGACACGAATCGAACAATCAATAGCTTGAATAACCTGAGCAACCTGGGAGCCTTCCAGAAAGTCTTCAACCGGAATAGCATGAGACCAGTTAGTACGCATCTAAGAGGGTTGCACCATGTTGCACCCCCATCGCAGACACTCTTTTGCAGTACCATCTACGATTCTGTGTGTCGTGCGTATCAGCGAAGTTGTGGACCATTTCCCCCGCGCAAGATCAGCAAATGAATGGTGGGTGCGGCAGACGTGGAGAGTAATCCCTCCCCACCAGGTTGGCGATGATGGCAAGCTTTGTGGCGATCCCTGGCACAATCAGAGCCTCAGCTGCTAAACCCACAAAGATTCCTGAAACCTGCTGCAGGAAGTGCCTGGCATCCCATGCTTGTGTATCCATGCTTGATCGGGCGCCCTAGCAGGCTACAATGCCACAATCTCGGTGTGCGAGAAAGCCTGGAGATGGGAGCTGCTTGACCGAACCTAAAGGATCTGACTTTGCTTTTCATGTGTCATTCAGTGTCATGCCTACCCTAATTTTGGCTCCCTCGAGGTATGCTTTGCACCTCTTCTCACAGATGGAGTCGGTGCAGGCCATGTCTGAGCCCTTTAAATTTTGTGTACCTAGCTGAAGGTTTGTTTCTGGAAGGATGCTTGGGGATGAAGAGCAGAGATAGCTGCCTTCTTTATTGCGTGCGCCGCGCTTGCCGCTGCCGTTGGCTTGACCTTGTTGTTGTTAGCGGTGGGGCAAGTGGCGCATGCCCTGCTTGGCATCCCCCTACCCCCGCCCCTCTTGATGCAAGTCTCCCTTACAGTGAAGGCATCAGGATCCTGACTTGCATTTATGAAGCAAGTTCGGGCAAAATCCAGCGGTCTCCCACTTGCACGCCCTCTGCCAGCCCTCCGGAGGTGTTTCGCGATGTGATCACCTACAGCGCAGCCATTAGCGACTGGTCATATACAATGGCATGGCAAGGTCGAATATTTCAGACAGCAAACAACCGGTCGTGAAGCTGCATCTTATGACCTCTGGTATCCGCCTGACATATGTTCAATCAGCCGGCATGCTGCAACAGTATATGCGCAAGAGGCTGGCAGGAGGCTTGCATTTCATTCGTACAGATATGCCTGAATCCTGGAAATCGAAAACCCTCCATCACTGCACCAAGGCTCATGCTTTGGCAGTACCTTCCTGAACTTGAAAGTTTCAAGCTGTGCAGGTGTACATGTTTAGACTCAAGCTTATAAAGGTCCTTAGGTTGTGCTTTCACAAGGCGCGAGGTGCGGATCAACATATCGTGGGCAGGTCACCGGGTTTGTCAAACGAGATAAGCCAGGTGCGTGCGCGAATGGTGCACAGTGGTTCCCTTCTTTGGCTTTGCTCGCGCAGCCAGGCTCTCAGAGAAAGGCTGCGGAGTTAGCTACGTCCTGAAGCCTTATGAGGATGTTGCGTGATGTTGGAGCTTAGGGCGTATGAATTATGAAAGCGTAGCTCCCAAGATTCCCCGACGGTGCAAGGCACTCCGAGACTCCAAAGTGCATTCCAAGATGACAAATGACTCCAAGATCACTCCAAAAGACTAACAACAAACGACAGTTCTGCACTTGCTGAGTTAGACTGGACTGGAGCGAAGCGAACCCATGCAACAGCCCACAACACGGGAAAGTATGCGCCTGCCATGTTTTTGCGATACGGAGCGATGCAAGCCTTTAAAAGTGCGCGGAACCTGGACGAGAGCGTGATTTGGCACCTTTCAGGAGGCCAAAAAGCCTTCTCCTCGATTTTGCGATGGAAAAACAACATTTCGGGAGGCTTCAAGAACTGCCCCTTCCTAGGCGAGAGCGTGATTCTGGTCCAGATTGCGAGCGCCCCTCGAGCGAGCCATGTAGTGTCATTCTTGATGCAGACACCCCGCTCCCAAAGCTATGGATAGGGGCTTGACAGAACCGACTGCGTGCTGATTGGATGGTTCAGGGATCTTGCCTCGTGCCGGAACAGCTTCAGCTTCAGTCAGAGGCCCTAACAATTTCTTGCGATGCTTGAAATATCTTGAAATCATCTTTTGCTGCCGAGCCATCTCCTCCTTTTGGCTGGCATCTGCAGACCCGCAAAGCAGCAGTCTGTGGGATACGATTCCCTTTTTCGAAGCAGGCCTCTCGGTCATCAGGTTTGGCCTCAGCTCCACTACAATGAAGGAATGTTCACGTGCGTGTTCTTGGCAAGGCGCTTGTAGCAGCATCTACTTGGGGAAACCACTAATTGTTACGACTTCTTATACAGTGCCGCTCTCCAAGAAATGCAGTTCTTGGTACATCCTGGGCATCAGATCCCCGCTATACAAAGACTCACCTTAGCTGAAAGTGCTCCTACTGCTGGTCACTGCTGGTGAAACTTTTCTGCGAGGATGGAGCATCAAGAAGTTCTGCCCACAGACTCTCGGTGCAAATGTCACTTTGAATCGGAAGGTTCGATGGAGCTGTCACACCTGTGTACCAGCGAATGCTGGAAGGTCTATTTCTGCTTTTGGGCCCGGAAGGCGCAACCGGCGCATGATCAGCCCCCCGGGTGGCTTGAGACCCCCGAATGGAAACTGTTTTTTTTGCACGCCCGACCCGACCCCAAGCGTCCATGCTTCATCCCAGAGTCGTTCAGCACCATATGCTGCGTCCACCTCGTTTGGGTTTTGCCCACCATGCTCATTCAGAGCTGCAAGCTGTTCCCTGCCTCGGGCACCTGGTAACTTGGTAGAGGAGGCGATCAGTAAGGCAGCATCTACTGAAACTATTGATTTTCTTGAGTTGAATCCAATACCGGAAGATCACAGGACTTCACCTACAACGCATTGATCACGGCCTGCGGCCGCGCGGGCCACTGGGAGCTGGCATTGTGGTTCCTGCACAGGCATTGGGGCTCTCGTCCGCAATGGTTCGGCTTTAGAGTTCAGGGCTGAGGCGGCAAGGCGACAAGACAAGGTCTCAGAGCCGGAATGCTTCGATCTTTTTTCATTTTTCCGGCACGACCATGCGTAACTTTAGGACATGAACATGGTTGAGTTCAGGGTTTGCTGAGGCTTGTTTTGCCAAGATGGTGGCCTGTGAACTTTGCAAGCCCACATACAAAGCAAATGTCTGTCCAAGTGCCCAGCACATCATACACAAACTCCATGCAACTGTCAACCTTGCACAGGGATCGTCCTTTGCACAGGCAATCCGTGGACCAGATGCCGCTGGAGGTGGCAAATCCATGCAAACCCCCTCCTCAACATATTCATGCGTTGCAAACCCCATCACTATAATAATTAACTGCTTAAGTTTGCTCTTTTCTGAATCTGGGCTCGGAGATCTTGACATGAATCTCGTCTGCAGCATCTCCCGTTGAGATTTGGCGGGCGCATGCTTGGCATTGAAGATCGTTTTGGGGATTCAGAGTTTAGAGACGTCAGGTCATCAGCTACAATGCCGCCATCAGCGCCTGTCAGATGCTTGGTTCTGTCGCGGTGCCGCTGCAATGACCCATGTGGCTAAAGACCAACTTTGCTTCGCATCGACTTTGTGACCGTGCACATTAGGGTTTTGTTGTTTAGTGCAGACATGTCAAGCCTAGACAAATTAGTCACGAGCAGTGTCGTGATAAGCGCGGCAAAACGATTTGGGATGGGGACGACAGGGTCAAGAGCAACGGGGACATGCTTGCTCATGAAAAAGATGTCGCAGCCGAGGAAGGCTTCGCAGTGGGCCAAGGGTCTGTACCTTCTCGCATGCGGCTTGGCGCCATCCATCGCCATCCCCTCAATCAGATGATCATGACGCCAACAACAGCAAGATGAGACGTGGATCGGACCGAAGCCTTGCCTGCAGTGTGCGCGTGTGAGAGTCGAAAGCCGGCAGCCGGTTGATGATCGAAGCGAATCTTCGTTAATCACAGGTTTTCTCCCAAAGCTGCGTGCAAACTTCTTCGTGGGCCACGGCTGATGACCCTGTGAGCTTCGCAGTGTTCCCCCCGGCAAGGGTTGGAGTTAGAGTCGAGGAGGAAAAGGAACAGCCACCGACCTCTTTTTTTAACCCTCGACAGGCACTCACTTTTTCATCGGCTGAAAAGGGTGTGCCGAACCCTCTGCCCTCCTGGCAATGTCTGTGTCGAACTTGACCACCTGTCAATCACAGCATCTTCCAATATCCAGAAAGGCAACTTAGGAACACCCACAGCACCGACATACTGACCCTGGACGCTAAAGCAGCTGAAGATCACACAGGCACTGTTTGTCTGGTGGCTAGGGCAGCTGGGTATCGAGCAGGGAGCCCCATTAAGACCAAAAGCCCAGCATCGGCACCAGAAGTTCGCTTTGATTTCGACTGTACAGTCGCCAACACCCTCCGTGCGTGTGTGTGTGTGTGTGTGTGTGTGTGTGTGTGTGTGTGTGTGTGTGTGTGTGTGTGTGTGTGTGTGTGTGTGTGTGTGTGTGTGTGTGTGTGTGTGTTCTCGGATTTGCTGGCAATTTAACTACCAGGAGCTGCGTGCTTGCATAAAGTGGTCTTCATGGTATTGGCACTTCTAGACCATTCGCAAGCAATACTTAAAGCCACTTGCCTTGGCAAGGCCGCTACAACAGCAGTTGCTTTCGTCGCGTGGCGCCAGCATGTCTTGTTGAAAAGTTGTGGGAATAGCCCCAATTGATGTCAACTAACCGTTAATGTGGAATCTAGACCTGGAGCTCCTGAGTCCGGGCAGTGAGCTTAAGGCATGACCCTCCTTGAAGTGGAGCCGAACGAGATCAGCTCCGTGCTCACACATGCTCTTTGTTGGGTTCCAGGTATGGGATGCAGTTGTTGGAAAGCTGTCTACGCGTAATAGTCGTACACACTCGTGCTTTGTAGTTGCGGCAACGTGGCGGACAAAGCAAGCCTTTCCGAAAGCCTCGAGGCCCTGAGCGATCTAGCATCCTCAAGTCTCAAGTGAAAGCCTAAGCTGCCTAGTGATAATTAGTGATACACGCCGTTTCCGGCTGGCCTGAACACGCTTCAGAACTTCAGACCCTTCCCAGGCTTTACTGCAGCCGTCAGTGCCTGTGAGCAAGCCTGCCGAGATGCAAACGCGCTGCAAACAGCCTTTGACTAAAGAAAAGTCTAAGAGGATGTATTCGGGGCCAATCGGTCGCGCCCAACAGAAATCACTGCCCAAGCAGACCGGCCTGCCATTGCAGAGAGTATTGTTGAGTAGAGGTCTTCAGTCTAGAGGTCAGGGCTGTTACCTGAGAGTCCGCACATCTCAAGATCAAGGCTCAAAGACACAACTTTGAAGGTTGGATTGCCGGATTCTGGTTTGTTTGAAGTTTATCTGCTTTGACCTGGCGATCCAGGCAGCTCCAGATTGACACCGGAAACAGGCGTGCTCTCCAGGCCCCCGCAGCGAGACTTGATGAAGACCACCCAATGGTGCCATGCCCCTGGGCGAGCAAACATCCCCTTTTGTGCAGGCATGCCCCTGCAGTAATGCTGCGATGGTGAGTCCCTGTAGTGCTAGATTTCTTCGGTCAGCATCTGGTCAGCAACTTCGTTGGCAACTCGCGGCCCAACTTTCTTGAAGCATTGCTAGTGTTTCAACAGCCTTCGCTGAGATCAGACTCTTGCCACATTCCCACCAACGAGAACACCTCGGACTTGAAATCGCTAGTTTTCCCACGCTTTCTTCAGACAAACGACATGATGTCCGAAAGATCGCAAGGCGATGGCTGAAACAGGTACCTCCCCATTCTTGCAGGGATCCAAGCAGCCCTCAGAAGTGGCTGGGGACCCAGCCTCTATCCATCTCGACAATCTTGAAGAACCGTGAAGCCACGCATGGCATAGCAGGCGCCGCGAGAAACAGAGAGCAAACGCATGTGACCACGTTCTGGGCCCCCATTCCGTTCTGGGTGTACTCAGGGGAACTGATGACGCGACGTGGCTCGGCATGCACGCAACGCAGGTCCATTTGTTCATGTTCCTTTGCTGAGCTTGCCAGAGCACGTCAAAATCATGTGCGCATGCTGCTGGGTTTTCTTCAGCCTGACAAAACAGGTTCCGTCTTCAATGAAAGAGGAAGTAATCGAGGTTTTGTCAGACTCCTCAAGTGCAACCCTGGGTTTCCTGATACTTCTTTTACAGCAGTGCCAGAACAAAATGTCGAAAACAATCTAATCGCGCAGCAATGATGGGGTTTCCAGATTCTGAAGCAGCCGAGTTGTTCAGCTCAATTTCCCGGAAGTCGTAGGGGGTTTGTCGGGAACGCGAAGCATTTCCACCTAAGAGCGCGCATCTCAAATCGATTCTGCCTCAAAACTAACCGCTCCCCCTAAGGCATGGTTGAGGAGACGCACACATCCCAGGGTGTCAGATCCTCACTTGGGATGGTGAGCATTTTCGGGGAGCCACCGAATTTTGGGCCTGTAGTACATATGTAGTTAGAAGCATCTTGAAGTTTGCAGCATTTTGCAGCCTGCCAACAACATAAAGCATGTGGGGCTTGGACCGGTCTGGCTTTGATCATGTGCGAGCTCCGGCATGAAGTGCTCTTGGCATGCCGAAATGGTAATGTTGCATCACTGTTGCATCACTGTTGCATCGTTCAACACAGCCCGGTACTTACCAAAGCCTCTGCTGCAGTGTTGCAGCTGTGGTTCATGGGAAGATGCGGCTTGGCCCTGCTTTTCCAGGCTCAAAGTAGCCAGCACATTGCGAAAAGGGAAGTACATGGGCCATGGCGGCAGCCAGGTCTGTGACGCGAATGCCCGCCGAGGCACACTTCCTGAACTTAAACCGAAGTTCACCTCCCTCAAACCGCAGCCCTATAGACTGATTCTTATATCAATGCTCAACACTAGACTGAGTACTCTTATCCGTAGACACAAAGCAAAGGGGTTTGGGTGTGGGCGATTAGGCATGCGAAAGTTCAGCGAAAGGAGTTTTTGTCGCGAAAGATGCATGTTTGGGACCACAAAGCAGATCAGTTGCCCCAATCTAGCATCAATGCCCGTGTTCCGCTTGCGTCTCTTTGACATTGCTCAATACTCATTTTTGGCGCGAGTGAATTGACCCCTCGACTTCTGCGTTTCCCCCAGTACTGGTATGTATCACGTACCCTTGATAAGGCTTGGGCCCTGAACTTGCCGTGCATCGTAAACTTCGTAAACCTGTCCAGGATGAAGGCTGCCATGATTGCAGCTGCTTCCAGAAGGGCCCAGCACGCATAGCACGCGCAGCGGAGACTTGGGAACACGTTGGCCAAGGCCAGGGAGGGTGGCGAGTTTGAGTGGAAAAGAAAAGGATGTAGTTCTCCGTGACCAAGATTAGTGAATTTACTTTGCTTTGCACGTGTTGCGTGATCTGGGTTTCTAGGACGAAGGTTCTGAAGTCGGAGGTCTTGGTAGCGAAATTGATGGAGAAGTGCTGTTGGTGTCTGGTTGCAGACATAAATCCCTTCTTCTGACAAGGCAAAGGCTCCTACAGCAAAGTGGAACAGGTTCGCTACGTGGGTTCTGGCCAAGGGAGCTACGTGCAGGAGCTCATTTCCACCTATGATGGGTATCGTGTGCGGCCTGGCTGCGTAGCCTGCCTTGCGCTTCTATTGCTGCTCGCCATGGGCACGATATTCTTCGTCGTAGCCCACCACCGCCTCAATCAGGGGCAGAACGACGATTATCAGAGCCCACCCTTGATCTATGATTGTTCCAGAGGGGCTGACATTCGACTATGGTCACCGGAGCAGCAGGATTTTTGCTGCATTCATGAGGGCCTTGCATGTCCCAGGCCAGCCGAACCAGCCGAGCGATATGACTGTGACGCAGGGTTCAGACACTGGAAAACTGACTGGTCGCCAGGTCAGCAACGCTTCTGTTGCTACAAGCACAGAAAGGCCTGCAAGGTTAAGATCGTTCATGACACTAGGCTATGCGAGGCTCCCGCAGGAACGCTTTCTCCTTATTACCATTAATTGACTTTTTGAATTTCTTCGAAGAGCTTCCAAGCAGCAAAATCATCGGGCACCAAGGACATCAAGTACGTGCCGGTAGTTCACACGAAGAAGGTGAACAAGTACGTCCAGCAGCCACCTCACTACATCTACAAGACCCGCTACAAGACCATCACCCGCAGGAAATACGTTCCCGTGCCGGTACCGACTCCGGGCAAGACAAAGGTGCTTGTGCAGCACGTGCCCGTACCCATGCCGAGCAAAACAAAGGTGCTTGTGAAGCGCGTGCCGGTACCGATGCCAGGCAAAACAAAGGTGCTCATTAAGCATGTGGTGGAACGTGTGCCGGTGCCAAAGGTGCTCGTGAAGCATGTGGTGGAACGTGTGCCGGTGCCAAAGGTGATTGTCAAACATGTTGTGGAGCATGTGCCCGTTCCGACGAACGTCATGGGACATGCCGTGCAGGTTTCCACACAAAATCTCGATCACATCCAGTATGATTGTGAGGCAGGTCACATGAACTCCAAGTACGGTTGGTCCGAGTCAAAAAAACGGTGGTGCTGTTCGCATTTCCAAAAGGGCTGCAGCTTTTCCTCTGGCTGTGAGACTCCCTGCACACTGGCGGGTCAGCAAGCAGAGGCGCAGAACACATGTGCCAGCAGCACACGATGGGCAGCGAGGAGCATGTTTGCTGGACGCAACGACGCATGCCAGTTGGCATTCCACGAGGTCGCAATGAACTGTGCTTGGTGCCATGGTTGCGAATTGCGCGAGGTGGGTTGCAAAGCCGAGCCTCTTCGTGGCATGCAGCCAATGCAGCCCCATCCGCTTCACAAGTGGAGCGAGGGGATACATGTGGCCAAGCAGGTGAGCACCGGGCGGCATTCGTCTGGTGCTCAGCAGGAACACTCGCATCCAGCCTTCCGCTGCGACTCGACACATCGAGCCACATGGTCTCTAGGACATACAAACTGGCAACATTTTGAGCTGTGTGCCTTCTCAATGTCCTTGGAGCATAAAGAAATTCATTGGTAAAGATGAGTCAACTTAAAACGCTTTGGGATCCACAGCCTCTCAGGTCCCCGGCCCAGGCCATTTGGTGTTGTGATGAGCGTGGCATGGGCTGCGCCCAACCCGGGGAATGAATGATGCTAATCGTGCCCTTGCTCAGCGTTCGGATCCTGTCCGTTCTAGAATCTCAAAATTTCTCAAATCTCGGATCTCCACAAGAGAATGCCTTCTTCAAGCTGTAGGATTTGGGATGTTGAAGAAAGAGTCCAATGATTCCAATATATCCCAAAGCCAAATTGCTATCCCTGGGTGGGTGCAGTGTGCAGCGAATTCGCCTTCTGATAGAAAGTTGTTCCTTGTCATTGAAGAAAAGCTGAAACCCCCTCATTGCAGTCCTCCCTCCACACAAACCCTTGAAATCGATTTCCACCGCGTCCCCTTAGGCCCAAAGAGCCGCAAGACTTGGCCGGACAATGCTCAGCTGACCTCAAAACTGCCTGTGGCAGCAGAAAAGGGCAGGGCGAGCACAACATGACCCCTTAACATCATAAGACATTCTGTAAGTCTATGCACAGCTGCTCTCTAGAACTTGAGTATTTCAGTTGCGGGTAGTCATCATGGTTTTGGTTCAGGATAGAGAAGGCTTTAGTGGGAATTCGGTTCAAGCGCCCACGGCTTGAACATGAGGTCGTACCAGTGTCGTACCACTCGGAATGAGGCATATGGTGGAACCTTCTGTGCAAAGTCCCAGATTCCCTCACCATCACGACTCAGCACGCACGAATCAACAATTGTAGAGGCCCCAAGGCACCGAGCACACCCTGAAGCCCCAAATGCTACCCTGAAGTATTCAGCTTGCGGAAAGGGATTGAGGGAAAAAACGAGGTTGATGTAGTTACAGGTTTCTTACATTGTCTTACATAGTATTGCATAGTTTTCTTGAAGAACGGTTTCATCCAGATGCCTCATGCAAGGTAGTTTCAAAAACGTATCACGGCCCCCTCACTCCCTCCACCAAAAAACACAGGACCCCGTGCTAGCTTCCTCAACGCTAACGCTGAAGACCAGACCGAGGTCGCAGCCCACCCCCGCAGCCTTGGCCTGACCAACTGAGACGCAGAGAGCAGGAGCTCATGTCGGGAAGGGCTCACAGAGAATGGCTTGGCTGTGGCTTAGGAAACACCGGGGAACTTTTCATGACCTGACACATCCTCAAACCCCTTGATTGAAACCAGAAAGAGAGAGAGTGAGAGAGGAAAAAAAAAACATGCATGGTTTGGCTGGTTGTCGTGGCTTTGGAGACCCTGGCGTTTTTCGTGTTCGCCTCGGGCCTGAAACTCGGCGTTGCCCGGTTTGCAGTCTGAACACGGGGGCCCCCAAACTTCCAGATAAGACAAGCCACAAACGCACTCGAACCAGCTGTTTATCTGACTTGCGTGAAAGGCGATCCTTCCCTTCTGCAGCTTGGTTGGAAATAGAAAGGCCAGCAAAAACCAAAGGGGCCCAGTTTGCCAAGTCAGTTTGAGGTTCACAGGGATTCGTGGCGCTAAGCTCAGCTTCGTGCCCTGCTGCGTGTGGTGATTGTTGATCAAGGCTTGGCAAGAGATTGATCATAACAAATCAAAAGCAGAGCAATACAGGCCAGCTGCGCGGAAAAGCAGAACCACCATTTAGTGGGAGCAGTGGATCGGGCATGGTGTCTGCTGCTAGTGATGGTTGATCCTCACATGTAGCACTCACAACGCGCATGCCGGTGCCATGGTCTTCGAAGAGGCACCGTTCCTACATCGCTCACATAGCCGATAGGGCTCTCACCGTAAAAAAACTGAACGACTTGCGAACTTTCCTCAAACGGCTGTGCAAAGCCCGGATCTTGCACCGGCCCGGGACGCAAGACCACTTGACCTGGCATACCATCAATCTCTACGACGTAACCGATGCGGTGATTAAGCCTGTGATCTACTTCAGGGAACAAGAGCACAAGGTCTCGCGTGGCCAAGAAGCCATTCCGTTTTGGAAGTCTGTTTTGTGCTCTTCTAGCGTGGGCCCTGCAAGCCCTGCATCTGTAAGGACGCCCACCGGCTTCAAAGGTTTTTCTTGGGCAGAGCTTGTTAATGCGGCTCCCCTTCGGCCGCAGATCATGGTGAGTCACTGGTGGGGTGGAAGATTCAGCGATTTCATGTCAGCCATCGACAATGTCGTGGATGACCGATCATTGAGCATCAATGCGACAATTTGGACTTGCACCTTTGCCAACAATCAGTTTGGTGAGAACCTCGGTGATAGTATCATGGAGACCCCTTTCGTCAGGGCCATTGAGTTTGCAGAGGTAACTATCCTCATGGTAGATCGTGATGCTGGATCGTTGAGGAGGAGTTGGTGCTGTTTGGAGCTCCACTACACCATCAAACTGGAGAGAAACTTTGAACTCTACACTTCAGCTGGCTTAGTGGGATCTTCCGCTGTATCATCTGGCCCACTGGTGGACGCCGTTTCAGCATGGGATGTACGGGACAGCCAGGCTTCTGAGATGGCGTACAGGCGGCAGATTTTGAATTTCATTGCTGGAGAGCCTGAGAAGCATGGCCTGCTGACCGTAGATGGGACTGCTGATGGAAAACTCGTGTTGATTGATGGCCGGCCACAGCTGGATGAAGGTCAAGATAGATTCCGAGAAGAGCAGGCCCTCCTAACAAATCATCGCAAGGCCTTCGAAGACCTCAACATGGATGTACGTGTCTCAGTGATCGGCCGGATTGGCCTGACCAAGAAGCCAAAAGGATGCCTTTTACCAGACTTATTCCAGCGAGGAATGAGTTTGGGCCAGCTTCGGACATTCGCCCGGAAGGCGAAGGCGGTGCTAGGCAGATCGTTGCCCGATGTGCCATGGGAGAACATGCCTGTTTGGCAACTCTGCCAGCACTTCATCGTTCCAGAGACTGCCAAAAGAAATTGCTCATATGCAGAGCTTGTGGTGGATGGGCCGCAGCTTCCAGACTTTTTCGTAGATTATCATTTCAACATGTATTTTGCAGACGTCATGTCTTCAATCGAATGGTTCGCGGAAGCCATGAAACTGAAGGACTCCATTATTTTCTTTTTCAGCCTCTTAGCATTCAACCAGGAACCGGAAGTCCTGTCGTCAGATATGCGCAGGTGTTATTTTGTGGAGGGACAACTAAGCCTCGACCAGGCACAGCTCGAATGCCAGGGTGTGCTTTTGACCACTGGTGACCATGTGGTAGAATGTAGCACAGGGCAAATCCAGCCGTGGAATATGTCCCGGGCATGGCGCTGTTACACGATTGAGTGTGCGTCGCGCTTGGGGCAAGATATCTACGTTGGTTGCCCCACAGGCGTAATGGCCTGCACAAGGCTTTTTCCGAATGGCCATTCCAAGGTTGGTTCCATGTCACGACATGTGGCACAGGCCATGTTTGATGTGGATATCGGAAACTCTGTGTGCGCAAGAGAGCCAGATCGGAGAAGCATTTTGGCTTTCATCCAAGAAGGGTCTGGTGATGGGAAGGGAATCGAGAGGCTGCAGAGGAGAATCCAGCGTTGGGCTGCATTTCATTTGGTTTCAGAGCTGGCAGCATCCGACCAGGACCTTGACAAGCTTTCGGAAGTGTGCTCACTACGTGGCTTTAGCGTCAACGCTGAGCTTGCCAAAGGTATCCTAGGAGAGTCGACTTTGCACGATGCTGTGGCAGCAGGGTCGTACGCCACAGTTTGGCGCCTCCTTGAGTGGTTCACACCAGACCCTACGGATGAAATGCACGAGACGCCCCTGCATTACGCTGCACTGGCTGGCGACAGTCGCATGGTCCAACTGCTCTTGGAGGCCAGGGCCGACCCATACATGGAATCGGTGTTTGGCGAGACTCCGCTGAACGTCGCGCGTGATGGAGCCGCTGCCTTCCTCGGCTACGATTCCTCTGCAGTAGCACCTCTGATTGAGGCTGCTGAGCTTTGCGCAACCTGAGGCCAACAGAATAATGTCACTTGTGTGTCCGCATCCGGTTGAGAGTCGGGACTGCATATGTAGCCATCACCGCAGTGCTGTGGGTGGGTGGGCGCATCATGATTCTCTTGGTATGATTGAACCGTTATTGACCATCAATTACCAGGACCAACATGTACCAACCCTTGTGAACCAATAAAACAAGCCAAGCATGATTGAAGAAGATGCCAAGGAGACACCAACAACCATTCATCGAGCATCAAATTTGATGATGTTCTCCAAAGACTCGAAAAGCTACCGGAACACTCACAAGTTGCTCAATCACGATGGCCAGTAGTGATCGCTGTTCTCTACAGCAGGAAAGTGAAAAAAGTTTTACACCCAGCCTTGGTTCTGACAACTACTGTACGAGGAGATCACTGAGAGTGCTGCGGCCGCATATCAAGTGGAGCTGGCTGCAGACGCCAAGTTGCTTGGCAGTGAACGTGACCGCAGCCAAGCCTGGATAAAGGCTTAGTGATGATATGGAATAGCATGTGATGATCTGCGATCACGGCTGTTCATGGTGAATGATGCCTATTGCGGCTAGAGATTTGTAATGAGTGTTTTCAAAACTTCCAGATTTATGTAGGCTATACTAGTGGTGGTTGATCACCTTGGAACCAGTAGGCACGCACGACCTGAGCCAGCATAGCCGCACCCTCTCCCCCCCCCCCATGGTAAACCCCACCCCCGGTGGTTCATGGTGGGTTTTGGGTCCCCCCCCCCGTGGTTGATGGTCTGTCGTTCATGGGTTTAGGGTGCGGAGGTTGCCTTGTATAGGTTGGGAAGGTTAAAATAACCGGAACTCAAATTTTTGGCTCAAGACCTTGGGCAATGCGCCCTACAGAAAAGGTGTGTTTGGTTGTGCTTTGGGTTTTGTCTTTGGTTGTTCCAGGGGAATCAAGGGTTTCTGTTGGGGTTGACTGTTTGGTTTCTCGTCCCCCTTCGGTTGCCCCCCGTAGGTTATGAGCCCAAATTAGGCTCCCTGCGGTGTAGGTAAGATTCTACACTTGTTTGGCGCAATGGACATGTTGCGGCGTCGGTCGGAACCTGGACTGTCATCCGCGGCCAATGAAGCCGAAGAAAATCGTGGTGATGGGGGTGAAGAACGACAGCAAGTGGTACAAGCGCTGACAGATGGTAGGGAAGTTGCAGTGGTGCAACAAACGTCTCAGGTGGAAAATGAAGTGGTTCCGTTTCCAGCAGCGAATCCTTTCTGGAGCGAGCGGGCTCATGAAGAAATGAGACTGAGGCAATCAAGGCCGGCAAGTCTTCCTGCGAGCGGAGGGGATAGAAGTGGTGAAAATACGAGGAGGCCACCGTCGCTGCCAGATCTTCGGGATCGAGAACCTGCACCAGCTGAGAGGCCATCGTCAGGCTTAATGGGCCAGATGGAACGAGGTAACATTGGTGAGACACAAGCAGAGGAAGAGCTTATTCCTGATCTGACTGGTGAAGAACAAGGTGAAGATATGGCAGTGGTAAAGCGTGCACTTAAAGAGCTGCTGGCGCATACAAAGGAGCTGGGAAACAGGTTGCGTAGAGTGGAGGAGAAAAGTTATACCTCTGCTGCATCTGAGTCAGTTTCGCGAGCACGGAACACTGGAGTGGTGGACGCAAATGCTGCATATCCCTTGGGCATGACTCCAGAGAAACAGTATCCGCCAGGACAAGTTTTTTACACTGATGGTTTGGGTGGTTTTTGGACTGTGTCGCCTGATGGGACATGGCTGCCGATTGAGGGCTACGACCTTCCAAAGGGTTGTGATCTTCAACCCTTGCCTGAGCCCAGGAAGGGGGATGGTAAGGTGGAGGCCGAAAGAGAAGTGCCAATGATGCATTTACCTGAAGGGAAGAAACCCTCCAGATTGCCTCCGCTGAATTACCCCCGGGGAGGTTCTGCAAGTGGTGCATATGCAGGCGGCCCGCCCGGTTTGACACAGGTGCCGATAACTTCCTTGCCGGCAGGTGTTGATGGTTCTGCCGCACCTATAGTGAATCAGCCCGTTTTATTTCAGCTCGGGCAACCGTGACACAAGAGAATGCTGCAGGATCGGGTGGATATACAATGGTGGAAAATGTACCGTATCGGTGGAAAATGACAGCTGGAAAGTTGGAATTAGAAAAGGTTCCACTAACAGCTCTTACGCCTGGTATGGGACATGGACTGCCGCAAAGGCCTGGTGGTAGTGTCAGTTTACCTCCTGGAGCAGTGGTGCCACGAGGTATGGCAACAATTGGTGATAGTTCTGGAACCGAACGTCCGGAGGCTCTTGGGAAGCATGTGATGAGTCTTCCTACTTTGGCAGACTATACGCCAAGCAATCCGACGGCACTAGGAGATTGGATCGCAATGATCGAACCAATGTTGTCTTCGCTGACAGATACAGGAAGGGTGTGGTGGCAATGCGTCTATTCAAGGGCGTATCAGGTGTATGCCAAATGGTTGAGTGTTTCCCCGCTGGAAAGGTTGGGCATCAAGGCTGAGCTGGAAGGACTCAAGGTGGTTCAAACTGCGCACGTTTTGTTGGAGCAGAGGGCAGTGTCTCTGCTGCTGCAGGCGATTCCGGAGAGGTTAAAGACTGAGATCGTTTCCACTCGAATGTTGGGATCGGTGATGATATTTTACAAATTGCTGACGGTTTACCAACCAGGTGGAGCAAACGAGCGCAGCACAATGTTGAACTTCTTGGTGCAACCGCTTCGGCTACCTCGATGTCAGAGGCCATAAAGGGAGTGCGTCAATGGGCGCAATGGCGTTCCCGATTAAGGGAGTTGCGAGCGACCGAGCCGGACGCTACCCTGCTTGTCAAGGGATTGGATGCTTTATCATCCGCGTTGCTGGCAAAACACCCTACGGTTCATTTCAGAGTGGCATCCTTTCGGGAGAAATTGGGGGTGGACTACTCTCCGACCTCTGAAACTGCGACACAACTAGCTGAAATGTTACAGGCAGAGTTTGAGCTGCTATTGCATAGCGCTGGTGATCAAGAGGTGAAGCAGGACTCGGACGCCAAGAAAAGGGCAAGGTTAAACAAGGCCCAAAAGGGGACTGGTGACGAGACAGAGGAGGGTGACAAAGGCAAAGGGAAAGGAAAAAGGTACAGCAATGATGGTGAACGTCCATTCTGTTGGGTATATGGAAAGACAGAAGCAGGCTGCAGGTTTGGGTCACGCTGCAAGTTTCGCCACGACAAGGACTCCCTGGAGCGTGGAAGATGTTTCGAATGTGGGGCCGTTGGCCATTTACAGCCGCAGTGTCCATACAAAGATGGTACGAGTCCCAACGCGGACCCAAATTCCGAAAGGAATAAATTTAAAGGGAATTCTCCCAAGGGGGGAAAGGGCGGCAAAGGTGCAAAATGGGGTAATGCCAAAAAGGCAGAAGTGGCTGATGGAGGAGAAGAGACTGCAAATGTGGGAACTGAAGGAGGTTCTGCAAGTCCTTCGTCCCCACCAACGCCTAACCAATTCTACGCTGAGGCGCTTGAGGTGCTGAAGTCTTTGAAGCTGTCACCTCAGCAGGCCGGGTCGAGCGGCGAACCCAGTATTCGTGTGTTGTGTGATTCTGGGTTACTTCAGCATGAGAACAGGGTGGCCTTGGTGGATACAGCTGCGACACACCTTGTGCGGACGCTTTTTCCATGGGAATGTTTACCCGACACTACTGTTACGGTGCAAAGTGCGCTTGGTAGTGTTACAATGAGGATTACAGAGAAAGGGACATTGATCAGGGAAGACAATGGGCCTCTGATTATCCCTCTCTGGTTGATCTTGGAGTTTGGGGCGAACCTCACGGTGATCAATGGGATGTGTCACGTGGGAGCAAAATCTTCGCTGGACCAGCTCTTGTGGTTTGAACATGGCTGTTTGGTTATGGATTACAAGACAGCTGAAAAGATGGTTTTGCATGCTGAAAGACAGTGTGCGTCTTGGTCCCATTCTCAATGGAGGAGTGGAAGGGCGGACTGTGGAGTCGGTTCGTCTGATGCCACGTTGTTGCCGAAGCAGGGAGAAGGCCGAGGAGTATGCGTCCTACGTGTGGCCAGGGTTTCTGACACCAATGAGTGCTCGGGAATGGGCATGTTGGACTCGGGGGCATCACATCCTCTCAGATCACTTCGTCCTGGTGAACAGCTTCCGCAGCAAAAGGTGTTGGTGTCTTTAGCCGTTGGATCTCGGGAGATGTGTATTACCCCAGGTGGGACCCTGGTAACTCCTGAAACGGTAGATCCACTAGTGCCAATTGGCAAAGCGAGCGCCTTGGTTGGTCTCAGAGTACAGTGGCGTGGTGGCAAGTGCACAGCCTCACATCCTGTTCTGGGGGAACTTCGCGTTCGAGATCTGAATGGGTGCCCTTGTTTAGAAAAAGAGGTGGCGCTTCAGATCATTGATGAAATGGATTGGTGCTCACCAAAGCAAGCATTAAAGGTGGCACGTATGGTTCAAGGGTGTCCGAATACGGACAATGAAGTGGCCGTAAAAGCGTCGTTGCAAAGCGCAGCGCGGACAGCGTCAGCGAACGAGGAGGAGTTCGTCCAGGCTTGTTGGCGATTTCTTCGGTGGTATTATGGTGATGTACCAGAACATATGCTGATGGAGCTGTTGCCACGTGGTGATATTGCTGCGTTGCCTTTCAACCGTCATAAAAGGCGACGGGTGGCACGAGCAAAAAGGGTGGTGGTACACCTATTTTCGGGAAAACAAAAATGGCATTTTCCCAGTCGGGATGTGGAGGTACTGGAGCTGGATTTGAAGAAAGGCGGTGACCTACGCAATTCGAGCGTCTGGAAGTATCTTCTGCATCTGGCGGCTGAAGGAAAGGTGGTTGCTGTGGTTGGAGGACCTCCATGCAGGACAGTGTCAAGGTTGAGAGGTGAAGACGGTGGTCCACCTGTATTACGCCGGCGCTGTGGGCCTGAAAGGTTTGGATTAAAGAGTCTTCCTTGGCCACATCAAGAATTGGCTCAAAAGGATGG